ACTGCCGAAAGCCTCGACTGGAGTTTGGGCATCTGGGCCTGGGTGCTACTTTTGGTAGCCTCCTGGGGGGTCCAGGGGCCCTCCCTCCTCCCCCTCCTCCCTCTTGCCCTCCGCCCTCCCCGCCTCCCATTCATGCTGCCCCGTTTCCGTCCTCTCCCTCCCCCCTCCCCCCCTCCCCTCGCCCTCCCTATACCTGGCCCTCCCCCCCTCCCCCCTCCCTCCCCCCTCCCCTCCCCCCCCTCCCCTCCCCTCGTCTCTCCCTCCCCCCCCCTCCCCTCCCCCTCCCTATGCCTGGCCCTCCCCCTCCCTGTAGCCTCATCCTTCCGGCCTCCGGCCCTCCCCCCTCCCTCTGCCCCCCCTGCGCGCCCCCCCCCCCCCCACACCTCCTCCGGCGCACCGCGGCGCTCTCGCGCCTCTCGGCCCGCGCGCTCCCTTTCTCTCTCCAAGGGTGCCCTCCAGGGCGCGAAGGTCTTCGCGCTTCGCCGTTCGGCTCCGATTCCTCCTCATCCTCCTCTTCTCCCCTGGGAGGCGGCGCGAGAGAGCGCGAAGTTATTCGCACTTCGCGCTTCGCGCAGCGCGAAGCGTGAAGTTGGGAGCCCCTGCCTCTCTCTCTCTCTCTCTTTCTCCGCCGGGGCGCAGGGGCTGCCTGCGCCACGCCGCAAGGAGGAGCATCACTCCGTCCCTCTGGGCCTCCCAGATGGGATCGGAGTAGTGGGGTCGGAGGATTTCGTCGCATCGCCGATGCATCGGCGATGCGTCAGTGGTGCGGCTCGGTGTGGTGCCAGATTTGCTGACGACCACGTGGCCGATGCATCGCCGACGTCGACGATGCATCGCCGATGCATCGCCAATGCATCGCCGATGCATCGCCAATGCATCGCCGATTCGGTGCAATCCCTCGACCCCATCCCAGAGCGTTCCGGAACGCTCTCAGAGCGTTCCCGAATGCTCTGAGAAGGCCGCGGCGCCCGATACATCCTCCAGAGCCGCCGGATCTCAGAGAATCTCGATTATCCCTCCCCGATGCCATTATTGTCCTATCTTCGTTTTATGGGGGGGATGATCAGGGGCAACGATCGGGCCTGGATAGGCAGCGGGGGGATACATCGACCCCCAACCGCCCACTGGTCGCCTGCAGGGGCCCGATGGCCCACCCCGGCCCAGGAGCGTTCGGATTCGCCATCGGGGGCAGATCGCCGATCCAACGGCGATGTATGGCCGATCCTATGCCGATGTTTTTCCTCTCGAACCAGTCCCCTCCTCAGCGGGATGAGGGAACAGAAGGGAGGGGTGGGATGGGGGGGCAGGGCACCCATCTGGCTACGAAAGCTCTGAAAGAGGGGAGGTGGAGGGGAGGGGGGGTGGAAGCCAGCTACGCACGCGCCATATCCAACATCCTTCCCCTCTTAACCATCTATCTCTTTCTCATAACGCTGATTTTTTTATCCGTGGGGTGTCGTAGAGGGCCTTGATCCGCGAAATGACTCCATTGTTTTTTGCGCAATCATCAGATCATAAGGGGGGTGTTGTACATTGGCTGAGGAGGCCTGAGAGGAGGTGGCGGATGAGCAGGAGGGAGAGGAAGTTGATGAGCAGGAAGGAGGGGAGGAGGAGGAGGAGGATCATGGACAGTCCCGTCGCCGTGTCAGTGGGATCGTGGAGGTTACTATCGTTGTCCTATCCTACGTAGCCCTGCGCCGTTGGACACCCCACTTCTCTTTCTCGGAAGGCTCCAACTCTCAGGCATATCGCAGAGGTATTGTTATAGACAAGACTGTGGTCCTAGGAAAGATTGCGGGTTGCGTGACCACGCGCGCACATGATGAACGTGCAATTCATGTTCTGATTCGGCACGGTGCGGTTTCGAGCTTGGCCGAGAGCATCTCGCAGACATGCAAGGCAATTTGAGTGTCTCGGTTAGGTATCGGTTCATTTGATGGTTTGTTGACGTTGTCGATCTGACATTTCTGCGCACAGCTCGAACCCGTGTTACTCAGCCGTCCGCGCCTCCGCATCCCCTCCGCATTCGCGATTGCCGCGCCGCCAACATGGCAGGCGCGGTTGCGCAGTCCATCCGCATTTTGTAGAACATTCCTAGCGCGCTTTCCGATGTCATGTTCCTCTGATCAGCATGGGAACGTCCGATCACGTGTGAACAACGGCAGGAGATGGTGCAGTAGCAGGGGGAGTGGGAGGATGATGCGACAGGGGACCACACCCGAGGCAACGGCGAGGGAGCGAGTTGGAGCAGGAATGTATCGTCGGAGGACGCGTCGGTCCCCTGGCGTGTTAGTGGGTGGGTGTCTGGAGGGGTGGGTGGGCAGGCGAGCTAGAGGGCAGCAGTGAAAATGGGAGGGGACGACGACGACGAGAGGGAGAGACGGTGGAGGCGGATACAATGATGAGGAGAGAGAGAGAGAGAGAGAGAGAGCGAGAGCGAGGGAGCATAGGGCAGTCAGAGTGAGTTCAAGCTGCATGGAGAGCATCTCAGGTCGACGGGACGGGAGCTGGAGTGTGATGTCTCGTGAGATCGGACGGTGGAGCTGGAGCAACATTTGCGTGGGCTCATGGAATGATGGCACATGGCGGAGTTTGTCCGACAGTGGCTATCAGAGGAATACAGTGCGTAGTTTTGCTTGGGCGCGATCAGTAAGACCCTGTCGTGCCACCGGGAACCTGATGCCTCCTTTTATGAGTACGGGCGGCTCCGTTGGTGAAGCTCTACGCTCCATGAGCTTCCATCCCTTGCCTCGACTAATTCTTGCTTTCTCGTCTATCCAATCCCTCGTTCACATGTCATCGAACGACATGTCAGGACCGTGTGTGTCTGTGTAGGGCTTGTGTTTGTGTGTGTGAGTGTTTGTGCGCGCGTGTGTCCGAGTGCGCGCTAGGCAACAACTGACACGCTCTAGCTCATGCAAACGAGACGCTGTGCACACTCAAGATCTGTCCGTGTGCTTTCTCTCCAGCCGAGCAATGACCCAACCGGAGATACATTGCGTTAAGTATGCCGGCCGCATCGCTCGCCCGTGTGTGTGTGTATGTGTTGCCCGTCTTTGCCACAACATCGCGGCAGGATGCGCACGTATTGGTGCGTTCTTGTTTGATCTGTCCGTTCACCGTATGCATTATGTCGCGAGTGTGGTGTCATACCGCCAACGGGGAGGACGTGTGTTTGTTCTCGCACATCCCCATCTCAAGGTCTCTCGGCTTCTGCTGATTGAGTTGTTCGGTGCTCCGAACAACACAGACTCGAGCGGAGGGTATGGGCATAGGTTAGCGAAGACGAGGAGGTCCCAACGACCACCGCCCAACAACTCTGCTCTAGACGCTCCACGTAACCCCACCAGCCCAGCCAAAGTCGATGTCCGGGCGAGATGCCCTGGTCAGGGATGTGGAGGAGCATGTAGTGGAATCAAGGGCTAGGGAAGCCGTCATACCTTAAGAGGGGGAGGAGGGAGGAGAGAGAAGGGATGAGGAATGGGCTGCGTAGGAGGAATGGCGAGCAGAAGGGCCAGAGGCCTCTTGGAGGCCTCCTGGGGCGTCTTGGGTGCCTCTGGGAGGCCTCTTGGGGCTTCTTGGGGGCCACTTGGGGGCGTATCGGGGGCCTCTTGGGGCCGCTTGGGCGCGTTGCGGCCCCTCTTGGGGCCCTCTCGGGGGCCTTGGAGGCCTTCTTGGGAGCATCTTGAGGTGGGGTCCTCAAACAGCCTCGCCCCGCCGGAGCTCCCAACGTCGCCTCTTGGGGCCCTCTCGGAGCGCTATTTGGGCCCCCGGCTCTTGGGGCAGTTTTGGGGCCATCTTGGGTATCTCTCGGGGCCCGCTTGTGCCCTGTTGGGGCCATCTTGAGGCCTCGGGAGCCCATCGGAAGCGAAAGGGCGAGAGTAAGGCCACAATCATGTATTGTGCTTGGGTTCGGGGCTGATTGGGACCGCTTGCGGGCATCCTCGAGAGTCTCCGCGGCCACTTGGAGCCATTGTGGGGCCTCTTGGATGCCATCTTGAGCCAGCTTGGACCATCCTGCGCCATCTTGGAGGCCATCTTAAAGCATCTGGAGTCCTCTCCGAGCCCTCTTGGGGCAAAGGTCTCCCAAAGCTGCCCCCCGGAACGCCAAATCTTTCAAAACTTGTGTGCGTGTGCGTGTGTGTTACAGCGTTTTCGCTCGTCAAAGAGGGGGTGTACTCAATGAGCGTCGCCATTCTGCAGCCCCCAAGGTCGCTTGTTGCCCTCCTCGAGCGCTCTTGGATCCGTCTTGGGGCCATCTTGGCCCCTCTTGGGGCCATCTTGGGGCCCTCTTGGAGCCGTCTTCATGCCTCGGAGAGCCCTCGGAAGCGAGAGGGCTAAGATCATTGACGTCCCTTCGGTGTTGGTCTGATGTTGGTTTCTTGGGAGCGTCCTGGGGAGGCCGCTCGCCCATATGGACCCGTCTTGGAGGAGTCTTGGGACCTTTTGGAACGTCCGGGGACCCAGTTTGCGCTCTCTTGAACCATATTGGGGGCCATCTTGGACTCCCCGAGGCAAGCATGTGTTTATTTCGTTGGCCAGTCTCCCCGCACGGCGTGGGCTTGAACAAACGCCCAGCAAGTCCATGTAGGTATGTGCCAGCATCTGCCATCCATCGAGTGTTCTTTAGCAGATGGGCTGACATTAAGTTTCACGCGTGTCCAGTAAACACGTTCGCGTGCTTGTAGACTGCATTCGTGAGCACGCTGCGCTCACCTGACAAATATCTCGCATTCCGCAAACATGTACGCATGGTTCACCTAAGTAGCGATCTGAAATCGTTCGTTCAATGGTTCCTCACCCAATAGGTATATGGCGTTGATCAGCCTGTTGTGCGCGTCAAACAGGAACCCTGAAGCGCATATAGTGAGTACGAAGTTTCTATGTATACGTGCCTCGTGCCCGCAAAGGGCCTGACCTCCATTCGGAATAGCTCAGCGCAGGTCGAGCGAAGAGCGGCACTATTTCGCCAACAATCATGTTGTCAAGGTTTCGTGATCCAGCAAGCAAGAAGCAGCCTGCCGTTTGTAGTATGGTGGATCGTTGGACGCGTGCGTATACGCGTCCTGCGCGGTCCCGACATCCGCTGTGACTTGCCAAGATCAGCGGTCGCGGTGGAGGCAATCGACCTGTGCCAATTTACCTACATCTACGAGCTCCTCGCGGACGACCTCGCGATCAGCGCGGAGTTTGCCATGACGTCTTTGCTGGGCACACAGGCGGCGGTGGAACCCGACAAATGGGGTGCCCCGCGACACCAAGTCGGTGGCATCGAGAGGAGGGATTTCGCCCTCTGGCCACCCCTTTCCCCCCACCGTTTCCCCCCCCCTGCTCCCGTTCCCGTGCACTCCTGTCGCCCGTCGCCCGCCTCTCCCCTCCCGTGCTCTCGACTCTCCTCTCTGTCCATCCCCTCCCCCTCCTGGTGTCATGCAGCGTCCCCGCACATGCCCCCTCCCCCCAGGCCTTCTTCTCAGTCTTTTCGTGCCCCTTGGCTGCTCAGAGTTGGCTGCTCAGTACCAGCGGGCATTCAGAGTAGGCTGCTCTTGACAGACCCTGCACTGGGCAAGGGTCGGCGTCTTCTCGTTTCTCGTTTTCGTCAGTGATGTTGGCCCACCATGCATCTCTTCTTTCTGCCCTCTCTGCCATCCTCCGTTCTCCTCAGAACTCCTCGCTCCTCCCTGCTTGATCCCAGCTTCCTCCCGCCTCCAGCATCATCATCTTTCCGTCACCTTCATTATCCCATTGTTGGCATATGTCGTGTTCATTTACCCTCGTGTGTCCAGCTCCAGCGCATGCCCTTCAGTGCCAATCCACAGCACGATGATGCAGGGTTGTTTGAAGTCATGCCGTTCCCACCCCCTCTCATTCCGCCTCCCTGCTTCCCTCGTGCCTCCCTTCCGCCTTGGTCTTTGCCGCTTCCTGACTCCTGCCCAAAGGTGGCGCGCATGTGCCCGACAGGGACACAGAAGCCCACGGCAGGCGGTGGCGCCAGTGGTGCCGTGCCCAAAGGCAGCGGGGAGTGGCACACAGAGACCGTAGAAAAGGATCAAGGATCGAGGCTTCCGGGCGTTGGTCCAAGTAGTCATGTCTCTTCCGGAGGCCTCCTGGCAAACTCTGGCGATTCCTCTCGCTTCGCGGGGTGAACGTGAGCAGGTAAAGATTGGGCGGTGGGTGGTTTGCCATGCTCGTCTGCCGCGCTGGTCTGCCGCGTCGTTCTGCCCGCCTCAGGGCGGTGCCAGCGCCACGGGAGCGGATGCGCCCTCCCCGTTTCAGCACTGGGACGAGCGTGCGAATGTCCACGAAGGCATTGAGCATTCACCACGTGTTAGCACAAGGCAACGCGAAATCACGATGAGCATAGCAACAACGCGCCATTCGTATACAATGATGCGGGCCTCTTGATGGTGTCTTGTGACATCTTCAGGGCCTTTTGGGGGCCTGAAGGTCTCTTGGGGGCCTCTGGGGGTCTTTTTGGAGCCTCTTTAGGGCTTTAGGGGGGCCCGTGGGCGGTCTTGGGGCTCCGTTGCGCCGTCTGGCCCCTTCGGAGGCCGTCTTGGGGGCCTCTCTGGGCTGCCTGGTGACTCTTGTGGGCTCCTTGGGCAATTTTAGAGGCCTCTTGAGCAGTTTTGGGGGCCTCGTTGGCGTCTTGGCGCCTCTTTGGGCAACATAGAGCACAGGGTCATTCTTAGGAGGCTGTCTTTGGCTTCTCTTGAGGCCTGAGGGCCTCTTGGAGGCATCTTGGAGGCTTCTCGGGCCGTCATGGGCCTCTGAGAGTCGAAGAAGGCGAGATCGTTAAAATCGATGATAACCTGAGACAAACCAATGTTTTTGCCCTCTGGAGGCGCTCTTGGAGGTGTTCTTGGGGAGCTCCCTGGGCCGTCGTGGGGCCTTTGGGGCACTCTTGGGGCCATCTTTGTCTGTGTTGCAGCCGTTTTGGCCCGTACTGATGCCATCTTGAGCCGTCTTGACGTCCTCTTGGACCCCCAAGAGACCCCAGTAGAGAACTTGGGTTTTTCTAGGTTTCGGGGCCGAGAAGGGGTCCTCCACTTTTGTGTCGACGGATGTGGGATGGCCCGTGGCGGGGGGGGGTTAGGGGGGGAGACATTATAATGTAGTACAGAACAGAGCATTTACGCAATACTTACATACATTAGATACGCTGCATTAAGGCGTTCGCCGAAAAACGCTGCCGCTCAGCACCTCACCTCCGGACGTGGATTCATCTCGCTTCGCGGGGTGCACGTCCAGAGCACGTCCAGTCGTTGCGGGGCCTGGTGAGGGCCTCGTTGGAGCCTCTTGGAGGCCTCTTGGGGTTTCAGGGGGCCTTTTGGGGGCCTCTTGGGGCCTCTTAAGGGCCGTCTTGGGCCGTCTTGGGGCTCTTGCGCCGTTTGGCCCCTTCGGAGGAAACCCTGTGGGCCTCTGGCGGTGGCCCTTTTGGGCCGGCTTGGGGTCCTCTTGCGGGTCTTTGGCCCCGTCTTGGGGCCATAGTGGATGTTGCTTAGGCTGTCATGGGCCTCTTCGTGTCGAAAAAAGACGAGAATGCTAAAGTCCTCCAAAAGCTTCAGGGAAATAATGTTTGCCTCTGGAAGCGCTCTTGGGGGTCCTCTTGGGGCCCTCTTGGGCCGTCTTGGGAGGTTTCTGGGGGCCGAAGGGGCCCCAATCATTGATGTTCCATTGGCTTCTGTAGGTTTTGAGGCCAAGAGGGGGGGGACCATCCTGGTCGGCGGAAGTGGCGTGGCTTCTGCGGGGGGCTATGGGGGATTGCACAATCAAGTGAAATAGCACAAACATGCAGCAATCATATGATTCTGGGATGCGATGCAATTGTGCAACAATCGGATACATAGGATACTTTGCATTATCGCCTCCGCAGACCTGCCCTCCGGCAGCACGTCATTTCCATAAGTGAATTCCTTTCGCTTCGGGGGGTGCACGTCCAGAGCACGTGCAATCCAGTCGTTGCGGGGCCTGGTGGAAACCTCTTCGAGGCCTCTTGGAGGCCCCTTGGGGGCCTCTTGGTGGTTCCTGGGGGCTGATTGGAGGCCTCTTGGTGCCGTCTCGGGCCGCCTTGACGCGCTCTTGCGCCGTCATCTGGCCCCTCGGGAGGCCGTCCTGTGGGCCTCTCGCAGCCGCCTTGGGGCTCTTTGGGGTCCTTTTGGGCCGTCTTGGGGGCCTCGAAGACCGTCTTGGGGGCGTCTTTGGGCCGCCTTGCGGCCCTCTTGGGCCCTCTTGGGGCCTTCGTGGGAGCATTTTGGGTCGTGTTGGTGTCAATTGGGAGGCTGCTTCGGCCACCATGGGCCCCTGAGAGTCGAAAACGGCGAGAATCCGAAAATCCTTCAAAACCTACTTAGGGAAATGAATGATTTGGGCCTCTGGAGGCAGGGCCCTCCTGGGCATTCTTAGGGGCTTTTTGGGCCCTCCTGGGAGCATCTTGGGCCGTCTTGGGGTCGTCTTGGCCCGTCGTGAGGTCATCTTGAGCCGTCTCGACGCACTCTGGGACCTCCAAGAGGCCCCAGGAGCCCAAGCCATAGATTTTCCATAGGTTCCTGTAGGCTGCGAAGCCTAGAAGGGGTCCGTCACGTTTGGGTCGACGGAAGTAGCGTGATTCCAGGGGGGGTGCAGGGGGGAGATATAATATTGCAAGATAAACATAGGTAGAACTTGTGTAGTCACTGGGTACATTGGACCCGTTGCATTACAGCATCCGCGGACTTGCCGCCTCCGGCAACACGTCACTTCCAGACGTGGGTTCCACAGGCTTGCGCCACATCCGCCGATCTTTTCTGGCGTTTCGGAGGCAAGCGTCCTGGGGGCCCAAGCGTGACCGGGAGGGGGGGTCTCTCGTGGGGGGTCTTTTGTTACCAGTTTGAAACATATGCCTATCCCTATGTTTGGCATCACCTCACCTCGATGCCGATCTTAAGGATTCTCTCAGTTTCTGAGGGCCTATCCCTGAGATTGTCCTCGCTTTTTGCTCGCCCATCTTTGGGATAGGGATACGTTCGAGGCTGGTTACAGCTGTGGGAGCCGTCCTAGACCTGGGGCGTCTGTGGGGGCCCTCCTGGGCCGTCTGCGGCGCCTTGCGGGCCGAAATTGGGGCTATCTTGGGTTGGGTGGGGCTTCCTCCTCCTCCTCCTCCTCCTCCTCCTCCTCCTCCTCCTCATCCTCCTCCTGCTCCTCCTCCTCCTCCTCGTACCCCTCCTCCTCCTCCTCCTCCTCCTCCTCCTCCTCCTCCTCCTCCTCCTCCTCCTCCTCCTCCCCCTCCTCCTCCTCCTCCTCCCCCTCCTCCTCCTCTGTATTGAGGCCATCTTGGGCGGTCTTGACCTGGTGACGGGGTCATTTTTGGGCGGTCTTGGGCGTCTCTTGGGCCGTCCAGGGGGCCAGCCAGAGCCGTCGTGGGGCCTGCAGGCCTCTTGGCCCGTTCCGGGTCGCCGGGCACGGCGTCTGAACGAGCGTAGCAAAAGTGGCAGCAGCTCTCCGCAGGGAACGAGCCAAGTTTGGCTTGTCGGGGCCCTCGCGGGGGGGGTCTCCAGGGAACCCTTTTGGAGCCTCTGCGGGGCCTCGAGGGGCCATCCTGGGCAGTCCGCGCTTGCTTGCGGGCCGCACAGTCAAGGCATTGAGACAAGGACCACCCTGGGGAGGAGGAGGAGGAGGAGGAGGAGGAGGAGGAGGAGGAGGAGCTCTGGAGGGGCTCTGGTTGTCGAGACGCTCCTTGGATTTCGGATTCCGAGCCGAAGCGTGGCCGAGGCTCGCCGTGGCTAGAAAAGCCCATTCGCTCGTCATCTGGCGTTCCTTGCGGTGTTGCGATGGCTGTATTTGGGGCCATCTTGAGCTGGGTGGGGCCTCCTCCTCCTCCTCCTCCTCCTCCTCCTCGTCCTCCTCCTCCTCCTCCTCCTCCTCCTCCTCCTCCTCCTCCTCCTCTTACCTCCTCCTCGTACCTCCTCCTCCTCCTCCTCCTCCTCCTCCTCCTCCTCCTCCTCCTCCCTCCTCCTCGTCGTGGGGCCATCTTGGGCGGTCGGGGGCCCGTCTCGGAGCCATGGCTGGGCTGCCCTGGGCGTCTCTTGAGCCGCCCTGTAGCCGCCAGGCGTCGCCGCGGGGCTATCCCTCCGGGTGGCTGGGCAGGGCGGCTGGAGGAGCGTGCCCAAAGTTCCAGCTTTGCATGGGGCATGGGCAAAGGTCGGCTTGTTGCGCCCTCGCGGGAGGTCCGCGGGATGCTGGATGGGGGGCTCCCCGGGGCCGTCCGCGGCGCCGTGCGGGTCGTATTCGGAACATCTCGGGTTGGGTATAGGGGGCAGGGCCCGCGATGGGCCGTCACGGGGCCGTCTTGGGCGGTCTTGAGCCCTTGCGGGGTCATCTGGGGCTGCCTTTGGCATCTCTTTTGCTGGCCCGTGGCCGCCTGGAGTCATCGTGGGGCCCTCCTGGAGGCCTCTTGGCCCGTCGCCGGTCCCTGGGGAGGGCGTCTGAATGAGCGTGCCCAAACTAGCGGCTTACGCCAGGGAATAGCCCAATTTAAGCTTGTTGGCGCCCTCGGGGGGGTCCTGTGGAAGCCCTCGGGTGGCGTCTTGGAGGCTCCGAGTGTTGTCTTGAAGCCATGTTTGAACAACTTCGTGCCATCGGGGATCGTCGAGAAGCCCACGAGAGATATGCCGAAGCTATGCAGGCCGTCCGGGAACATCTCTGTGGCGGCCGAGTCCGCCAGCATATTTTACACAGACCCCCCCATCCAAGCCCGCCAGAGGGGCCTCCCTGGGAAGGGGTTTGGGGAGGGGTAACAGTCTCACACGCGGGAGACCCAAAAGGGTCGGTGGATTATTTGGGATCTCTGGAGACCTCAAGGGACGTCCACACCCGCGACCATGTCTCCGCGCACGTACGGCCGAAAGTGGTTTCCCAGAAAAGTCGATGACGTGGATCCAGGTTGAAATGTGGCAGGTCCCCCGCACATCGCCGTAGCGGGATCAACAGAGGAAGTGTGGAGTGGGAAAGCGATCGCTGGATCATGAGGGTCGAGGTGCAATCGGAGCGCATGGGTTGAATCACGATCTCATGGTTCTGCTTCTACGTGGAGGCAACATGCTTTCACAGGAACGTGCGAGTTTGTCGTGTGTCCCCGCACGCCTGGGTCCGTGTGTGTGGTGAGTCGGGGCGCGCCCCGTCTCCATGGTCTCTTCTCGACCTGTCCTCTCCTGGTGCCCCATTCCGTTTGCTGCACGACCCGCGTCTCCCGCGGGGGTCCGTGGACCGGCACAGATCCGCGGCGGCGCCCGCCGAGCGAACAGTGCGTGCGTGCGTGTTTGCGTATGACACCGTGTGTGTGTGTGTGTGTGCGTGTGTGGGTGTGCGTGTGTCGGCGTGTGAGTATGTGAGCGTGTGAGTGTGTGAGTGTGTTTGTGTGTGTGTGCGTGGTGTGTCCCCCCCCCCTCTCTTTGCCCGCCTGCCAATTCGCTAGTTGGTGCCCCTTTCTAGCATCTCGCTGGAGCAGAGTTCGCCGCCTCGCCGCTGACCAAAAAGTGTGTGTGTGTATGTGTGGTGTCGGTGCGTGCGTGCGTGCGTGCGTGTGTGCATGTGTGTGTGTGGTGGGGGAGACCGTGTGTACGTGTGTGCGTGTGTGCTCGTGTGCGCGTGTGCGCGTGTGCGCGTTCGTGTGCGCGTGTGTGTTTGCGTGTGCGCGTGCTTGTGTGCGTGCGCGTGCGTGTGCTTGTGCGCGTGCGCGTGCATTTGCGTGTGCGGTTGCGCGTGCACGTGCGTGTGCGTGTGCGTTTGCGTGTGCGTGTGCGTGTGCGCGTGCGTGTACGCGTACGCGTGCATGTGCGTGCGTGTGCGTGCGAGGGCGCGGGTGTTGGTGCGCGTGTGCGTGCGTGAGCGTGTGCGCGTGTGCGCGTGCGTGCGTTGGCGCATGTGCTCGTGTGCGCGTGTGGGCGTGTGCGGCTCGTGTGCGCGTGTGTGCGTGTGCGCACGTGTTCGTGCGTGTGTGCGTGTATGTGTGCGTCGTCGTGTGCGCGCGTGTGCCTGTGTGTGCGTATATTTGTGCGTGTGCGTGTGTGTGTGGGCTCGTGTGTTGATTTATTCCGCCTCGTCGCCGCTAGCGAGGCCGCTACCGCTTAAAAGTGTGCGTGTGTGTGCGCGTGTGTGTGTGTGTGTGTGCGCGTGTGTGTGTGTGTGTGTGTGCGTGTGTATGTGCGTGTGTATGCGTGCGTGTGCATGTGCGTGCGTGTGCGTGCGTGTGTCTGCCATCTCCCTTGTCGGTGTCCTTGCCGCCGCTTGTAGCCGTGTAAGTTCCTACCATGCGCCAGGTCGGGCCCTTCTCTCGTCCGCGCTTTCTCCTTGCCATCCACGCTTGAATGGTATATGATTCGGCCCTCCTCTGAGGCTGGCGCGCGCGTGGTCCGTTCGGTGTGCTTGCCTCTTTTCGTCTCGTCGCTGCGCTCGAGGCCGCGAGCGCTATAACGCGTGCGTGCATTTGCGAGCATGTGCGTGTGCGTGCGGGTGCGTGCGGCTGTGTGCGTGTGCGTGAGTGCGCGTGCGCGCACGTGCGTGTGAGTGTGTGCGAGTGGGTGCGCGTGCATGCGTGTGGGTATGCGTGCGGGTTTGCGCGCGTGTGTATTACAGTGCGTATGTGTGTATGTGTGAGTGTGTTGTGTGTGCGTGTGTGTGTGTATGTGCGTGTGTGTGTGTGTGGTTGTGTGTGCGTGTGCGTGTGCATGTGCATGTGTGTGTGTTTGTTTGTTTCGTCTGTGTGTGCGCGTGTGGATGAGTGCGTATGTGTGACTGTGTGTGAATGTGCGTGTTGTGCGTATGTGTTGTAAGTGTGTTTGTGTTTGTGTTTGCGTTTGTGTGTATGAGCGTTTTTTCTGTCCTGACTTCGCCTATGTGCGGTCTTCGCGAGTTGTCAGGTCAGCTGCGCCGCTTCACAAGAAAACTAGTTTGTTTTGGGCCCCCCCCCCAGTGTGCCACCGAGCAATTTGTGCGTGTGTGTGTGTGATCGATCGTATACTAAGCAAATTGCGCAGCATGAGTCGTCGGAGGTCCAGGCCAATTTCTTTGGTCAGCGCTGGACCCTCCTGTACGTCGCCTCCGGCGCCGTCCCTGGCGCGCTTCGCGCGCTGGGGGAGGGTGTCCAGCGCCGATCAGAGAAATGTTTGCAAACATACGAATGTTCATGCTTATCTTGTTGTTCTTGTTTTTGGCGAGTGAGTGCACGAGCGTGTGCTCCTTCGTAGTGAGTTGGGTCGTGTCCGCGATCTGTGTATGTCCGTACTCATATTCGGGGTGGGGATGTCTGCTCGAGGATTAGTGGGCGGTGCAGGCAACACATTGGTTGCTCGCGTGGCGAAGCTGCTGCGCCATGTATGTCAGGCGCCGCGACCACCGCACTGCTGGTTCGCAGTACGAAGCAATGGACACTGAGTAATTATCATGTGGACGAGAGGTGGAAAGTCGTGCTGGATTCACGTGCGAAGGTCGAGGCCGATGGGGGGATGACGATGATGGACGTGTCAATATCGAGGATGAGTCGGATGAGGAGGCAAAGATGGAGCTCGCGTCGATAGTTGCCATCTCGTCGATGTGCCCTTCGCACCCTTCCACCACTTCGTAGGCCGTGCCCGTGGCAATTGTATTCAGCCACATGCATCTGTATTGCGGTGGGGACCCTGCTGGTTTTGAGCTGGTGCCCGGCGATGCTGACCAGCTCAGCGCTTGGGCGTTGCGTAATGGTGGGGTCATAAATGGGGGGGTGGCGAGGGTGGTCCGAAAAGGTACCCAAACGGTACCTAAACGAGCCCCCTGGGGGTCCGGAGGGGCCCGAAAGGGGCACGAAAGGGGACCGTTTCTGACCCCCCCATTTGTGACCCCCCATTAAGCAACGCCCAAAGCGCGTGTGAATTCTGCAAGACTGCGCAAACTCCACCCCGGAAGGGCGCGTTGCTGCGTGGCGTTGCCGTGCCCTTCTCTTCCTTGCACGTCGCGGGTGGTCTTTTTTGCACGGCGGAACGGCCGAGGCTGTCGATCTGGCGGTCGTGGCAGGGGGCCGCGGTCTCCGTGGTCGAGCGTATTCTGACAGGCGTGGCGTGCCCCTGCTAATGCCAGCGCCGGACGCGTTTCAGGAGGAAAAGAAACACACAGACACAATTAAATCTCGATTCCCCAGAAAATATGGGAAAATATGGGAAGGGGTGGGGAAGACAAAAACCCAGAAAATATGGGAAAATATGGGGGATATTTTTATTTGTGTGTATTTATTTGTGTGTTCCAGTTCCCCTTCAGCGTTGGAGGAGGATTGAGATGAGGAGCAGGGCGCTCAGAATTGGCCGGGTCTCATGCGGTGGCGCGAAGATTCGCGCTTGGCAGTCTAGGCCAGAGAGGTGCCTCTCCCCACGTGGACGGCGCGAGATCACGGAGATGATCGCGTCGTGCGCAACGCAAAGTATGTTGTCAGATCACTTGGGGTTGGAGGAGGATTTGGAGGATCCCTATTCCTCCCGGCTCCCCCGCCCTTTTCTGGAGAAACGCAGCATTGAATGACCTGGCCGAGTTCAGCGTATAGTTTCATATCATGGCACGATACGACGTCACATGATTTCATGGCATACCACTGCAGAACTTCACATATCGAAGTGTATCACATCACAGCACAGCAACGGAGACTATGCAGATCAATAGCGCAGTTCCTCACAACGTAGCCTAGTTTCGGCGTAGCATTAACAACGCGTTATCGCTGCATGGCCGTACCATCATTGACGGAGTGATACCCTCGATCTGCAGTCATCATAGCATTATCATATCATCACCATATCAATGTTCATAGCATTGCCACATGTTTGGCATGGCTCATTTCAGCATAGCAGTAGCATTTCAAGTCGCAGCCTCACATATCACATCATAGCAATTGCGTTGCACATGCATGATATGACATTTCATATCGTAGCATAGAGTAATACCCCATACAAGGTGCCATCTCATAGCGTAGCACACCATTGTATGTAATTTATCTGTCGTAACACATCCTCCAGCAACAGCATGCCACAGCACAGCCTAGCTTAGTCATGCCGCTGCAATGACGTAGCACAGCGCATTCGCGTAAACACAACACAACATGTCACCATCATAGCATAGCGCAGAAACAGCACCGCAGTGTGACAATATAGACAAGTCTCATGTCGCAACACATCATGGCATAACAGATCATAACATCTCTCAGCATAGCACATGAGAGCTCACCGTATACTTTTTGTGCGGAGAGTTGGCACCCCTGTCGCGAGGCATTTCCTGACTAGCAGGTCCCAGGCATCGTGTCTTTTGACAAGAGAAGATTCCTTTCGCCAAGCCGATACACTTTGGGACTATTACTCGTCCGTGCTCGTCTCCGCCCAGTGTTGATGTGTGTGTTTTTGTCTCACGCCTTGCTATGCGATTACGGACTTGGGGGCTTAAGTTTGTTGTACCAATTGTGTTGGGCATAGTGGGCTTGAGGTTGGCCCCATCGTCGTTCCACGTCTGATCAGATCCCACCGTGGCGTTAGGATGGAGGGAGGAGAAACGACGAGAAGGATGAGGTGTGTGTGTGTGTGTGGTTCTTCTCCCTCCTCCTTTCCTTTCTCCCTGATCCCTCTTCTCGGCGGCGAGCCCTGGGGGAAGTGAGAAGGGGCGGACCGTCTGAGAAGGCTCTGAAGTCCCCCGCAACATGTTTTCTGAGCCTTCCCCGAAGACACAGAGCACGTCTCAGAATGCCAGAGGGCGCGTGAGAAGCCCCGCCGCCTTTGAGAAGGCCGTCCCCTTCTCACTCCCACCCCCGCTCGCCGCCGATCTCCTGCCCCTGGAACTGCCGCGACATCGCAGGGGAGCGAAACCATCGGCCCCGCAGGAGCAGCGCCGCAGCTTCCTACTGCACGCCCTCTCGGAGCCGCAGCGGCGGGCGCTGGAGGTCCCCCCCCATCCCCCCCCTTGGCCGGACCCGCCCTAACTTCCTGCTCCCCTCCTGGCCCTCTTCCTCCTCGTCCTGCCCCCCCCCCCTCCTTCCCTCCTCCTCCCCTCCGTCCTCCTCCTCCTCTCCGTCCTCCTTCCTCCTCTCCTCCTTCCTTCTCCTGTCCTCGTCTCCTCCTACCTTCCTCCTCTCCTTCCTCCTCTCCTTCCTCCTCTCCTTCCTCCTCTCCTTCCTCCTCTCCTTCCTCCTCCGTAGCCATTTTGGCTCAAGGTTTTGGTTTCCCCAGGGAACAAAGTGGATACCGCTAGTCCGCGGCCAGCTTTCATCCTTCGCCTGGTTCGCCCCAGGCAGAGCGGTGCGTGGTCCGCCCCACGCATCGCAGCTTGCGGCACGGCCTCCCAGCACAGGAGCCCGTGGCCCAGTCTCCTGCGAACGCCATGGCTCCTCGGAGGGTTGCTGCTGACGAACCGTGGATATGCAAGTCGTGCGTCCACTCTGTCACTGGCAAGCCGTGGTTCAATGCAGGAGGTACGTTGTACTGCAAGCAGTGTCAGCTTCATAAGTCGGTGGTGTTCAAAGAGTACAAGCGAGGAAAGACCCCCAGCGTCCATGCTGCGGGATCCAAGGGCCCCAGCCCAGTGGACAAAGGCCTCGCTGCTCGGTGTGCACAGCTCGAAGAACAGGTCAAGAGGCTCACCGCAGAGAAGGCTGAGCCATCACCGCCACCACCATGGGCGCAGTCACAGCCCGACGGAGCTGAGGAGAAACGCAAGCGCATCAAGGAGCTGGACTCCATCATGCCCATGCTCTCCTCCGACAGGGACGCGACGGTGCTGGCCAATTTCAAGAAGGAGAAGGAGACTTTGGAGCGGGAGCTGTTTGACGGACGCCCGATTGAGGACCAGGCTCGATCGCTGGCGGCGAAGCTCCAGCATGCGAGGTCCCACGAGTCCAGCGTACGCAGGGCGGTCGAGGAGCAGAGAGCCAAGATCCTGGAGCTGCAGGGACACTTGGACAAGGCTGAGGCCAAGCTCGTGGAGGCTTCCGCTGAAGTGGTCGGGCTCGAGGAGGATACGCGCAAAGCCATGTCCCAGGCCCGCCCGCCAGAGCAGGAACGGCCGCCCACGCTCCATGAGATGCTTCCTGGGTTTGCGGTGTCGGTGGAAAAGCTGGGGCGTGTCGCCAGTACTCTGGGCTTGGGGCCTGATCTTACGGCTGGGCTACAAGCTATGGCGGAGACGGTCACCAAGCTGCAGCAGGCGCCGCAGGCAAAGCCACCCTCGCCCCAGGCTCCAGAGCCACCTGCACAAGAGCCTGAAGATGATGAAATTTCAGACATCGAGATGGGGGAGGAGGACATGCGGGCCACGCTCAATGCTGCAGGAATCCCCACGGACGAGAGCGTCTCCGCCGAGGCAGTCACGGAGAGGTTCAAGCGGTTCCAGACGACGTACATTGAAGCGTGCAAGAGGGCTCGCAAACAGTAGATTCGTCAATATCGGGATTGGAATGTTACTCAGTTCTGCAGCAGCAATGACGGCAAGCAATGATGTGTCCCCTCGAAGCGGGGTATCAGCTTCACCTACGACTCCAGGGAGGACCACGGCGTCGGCGGCGAGCACTACACCGTGGGCAAGTGCCTCCTGGGATGTGTCTGAGGTTATTGGCGCGCGTCGGCTACCCCCAGGGAGGCTCACTCGGCTTGCCGAGCAGAGGCCTGGGGTCGAACCCCGTGCATCGTGTACGTCACGGGGGGCGGTTGCGTCTGCGTCATCGGCACATGTCTCTTGGGATGAGAATGGTATTGGCACGAGTTGGCTACCCTCAGCAATGCTCACTCGGCCTGCCGAGCAGAGCGCTGAGGTGGAACCCCGTGCATCGTGCACCCTGCAGAGTGCGGCTTCTGCTTCGCAGATGGGGTGTGCATCGATGACATTCTCAGCCCCAGGAGGCACGCACTGCTCACCGTCCGTCGACAGCGGGCAAGCAGCATTGAGGACAACTGAGGGCGGAGAGTACCGACCGCGGGAGGCCATGGGCCCCCGCGGCACGCACCACTCACCCTCTTCGCCTCGCTGCGAGCCTGCCCCGACATCGGACGGCAGAGGGTACCGACCTATTGGGGCCATGGTGGGATCAAACATGGACGGGGAGTACGACCCTTTCGAGTTTCTTGACGAATATCGAGAAGCTGACGACCTCTTCCCCACTATTTGCCCGAACCCCTTGGGAATACGTCAGTCAGAACGCGATGAGGCTGCAGGTGCAGCCTTGTAATCTCCCTCCGCCCCCGCTGATGAACATTTGGATCTCGGACGTGGTAGCATGAGCGTCGGGTCCGATATATCTAAGACGGGCGAGTTGGAGGGAAAATCTTCTTCACCCGCCATTGCGGGAACAATTATGTCGGTGAATGCAGGTTCCTTCGGGCCACTGTTCGACTTCCTGGCTGTTGCGAAGGCCAAGATCATTTGTGCACAGGAGACGAGGATTGTGGAGTCACGCCTCGGGGAGTTCCAGCACCGCGCCAAGGACCTCGGTCTCCACGGGATGTGGGCACCAGCCCTGGCGACCAACGCTAGGGGCCCGCAGGCCAATCACTGCGGGGTCGCAATATTGGTGCCCACGAACGTGATGATCACGACGCCTCCTGACGGCGACCCCATCATCTACCCAGGCAGAGTGGTTGCCAGCTTTGTCAATTGGGGCGTTCCTGGGGGGGTGAGTGTGGTCAGTGCCTACTTAGTGACTAGCATTGGGCTGGCGGGTGAGAACCTTTCCATGCTGTGGGCCATAGCGCAGAGAGCTGCGACCTGGAATGCTGCGGGTTTCGATTGGATCTTAGCAGGTGACTGGAATTCTGACATAGCAGCTCTGAATGCGAGGAGGTGGATTGAGTCTCTTGCTGGGTTGTCTTACACGCCAGCGTCGGCCACGTGCTGCAAGGAGGACGGCAAGTCTACGATCGATTACTTCATCGCGCGTGCAAATTTGTCGTCAAGGCTCGGGGCCGCAGTGGTGGAGGACATGTACGGCACAATACCACCTCCGCATTACCCAGTTAGCATTGACCTCCTGGGCAAAGATAGGCCAGCATGGTGTCTCGTGCCAGACGAGCCAAGGGCTTTCCCTGTTACTCCGCCATGTGGGTGCGCCAGGTTCCCGTACCCGTGGGAGGCAGTGGACCATGTTTTTCTGGAAGTGAAGGAGGTTACAGATTTGGCCCTGCTGTGGGACACGGTCCTGGACGGTATCGATTTCGAGCTGGCAGGGCGGTATGACAAGGTTGACAAGGACGCGGTCCCTTTCGTTGGCAGGTCAGGCCCTCCACGTTTCAAGTGGAAGCTGCTGGCATGGGAACCTCCGCGTCGGCGTACGTACCGCGAGCCAAAGGTCTATGCTTGGGCGACGGCCAAGAGATGGTGTCAGCATCTCAGGTCGGAGCGGGACCGACTGGGCAGGTTTTGTCAGCGGTTACAGTTGGCTTCAGTGGTCTGCCAGCTAACGCCCCTGCAGTACACCAAGGTGTTGCAGGCCTTCTACGAGGTGGACCAATATTGCCGCAGGATCGCCCGCGACAAGAAGACATGCCACTACCTAGATCAGGACACCGTAGACTTCCTGCTGCGAGGCCTGGGCATGATCGGCGATGCTGACTTCGAGTCGGGCCTGGACAACATCACGAGGAAGGCCGATGAGGTGCTGAAGGCAGCGAGAGGGGCCTCGGAGAAGGCTTGGCGAGGCTGGGCCAAGCAGGCTTTTCTAGGTGGGGCCAGTCGGGCCCATGCAGCCTCCAAGGTGCGCGGCAAGCAGGAGCAGCTCAATTTCGACGTGAACGCTCAGCCGTACCTGCTGGCAAACCACACCCTTGACGCGTGGGAAGGCGCATGGCGGCATCACGACCTGTTGCCCCCAGGGCTGCCGCCAGGCCACGAGAGTTGGCCTGCTCTGCCCGAGCTCGACCACCAGCAAGTGCGGGCTGCCATTCGCAAGTTTTCGACGCGGACGGCAGCTGGGCCGAGCAGAATTTCACCCAGATGCCTGGACGCTCTGCCGGACCAAGCGCTCGAGCGCATGGCCAAGATGTTTATGTTTTTCGAGCAGTGGCTGTCCTGGCCTCCTGAGCGGGTTTACAGTGAAATGGTTCGCTTACCTAAACCTGACGGGGACACACGATTGATTGTGCTATCTCACGCTTTGGTGCGTATCTGGGGCAAGCTCAGAAGACCAGTCTCGGCAGCGTGGCAGGCTGGCTACCAGTGCGACCAGATGTGGGGCACGAGAGCGGGCCACACATCTACGGACTCGGCGTTTGATCATAATATTCAGCCGGAGGTTGCGCAGTTGTTGGGGGAACAGACATGTACGATCTTGCTTGATATGAGCAAGTGTTACGACATGGTGGACCCACATGCGTTGCTCCGAGAAGGCCAGGCTCTGGGGTTTCCACTACGTCTGCTGTGGCTCCTCATTCAGAGCTACCAACAGCCCCGTCGTATAAGGGCCTTTGGGAGTGTATCCAGAGGGTTTCGGTCCTTCCAAGGGATCCTAGCTGGGTGTACTCACGCTACGTACGTCTTGTACTTGCTTACCTATAGGTCGGTGCAGAGGGTCTCGAAGGTCTCCCCCACGGTGACCCCGAGGACGCTCATGGACGACATTGGGCTCCAACATACCTCCCAGGACCCTACGGAGGCCAAGTGCCTTGCGCTGGCGGCGAGGGGTTTCGTCCAGGACTCCAAGGGCCTCGGCACGATCTTGAAGGCTTCCAAGTCTGGGGCCGTTGTTGGTTCTCGGAAGTTCTGGAAGGGGGTGCAGCGCCACATGGGCTCCATGAAGATCCCGCACAAAGGCCACATGAGGAACCTAGGTCACGAGCCCACGGGGCCCAAGGTGATTCGGGGCATGGAAAAGAAGCGCCTCAAACAGCTCAGAGAGAGGAAGGCGAGGTTTTCCATGCTGAAGTCTGCTGTCGGCAAGGTCGCGACGGCTCTGTGGCGCACAGGCGCCCTTCCATCAGTGGCGCACGGTGCTGCAGTTGCTGGAGTAAGCGGCGTTGTACTTCGAGAGTTGCGTCTTTTCGCCGCCGTCTTGAACGGCGCGCCAGGTAAATTTAACACTGGTGTGACTGCCTACTTGGTTAGCCACAAGAGCGATTTCTACGATCCTATTTACCACGCCACTCTAGCCATTGTCATCAAGTTTGCGGAGTGGGTCTGGGACAGGAGAATACCCGACAGTCGTTTACATCGGGCTTGGGAGGCTCTTCGAGATAGGATTGGCACACTGTCTTGGGCAAATACTCGGGGCCCGATCGGGGCCTGTTGGCTGACCTTACGACGTATCGGGTGGAATCTAGTATCTAGTCATATGGTGGCTGATGATGTAGGCAACGTTTTCGACTTGCGAGTTATGTGCCCTGCCGACCTGAAGGTCTTCCTCACTCAGGGGATCCAGCGTTGGCAGGACGAGCGGCTGCTCAAGCATTTTTACACTGCTGGACCTGGCGAGCAGATATGGCACCGAGACTTACGTAACTCGGTGAAGAGTATCAAGTGCGTTCGTAGACTCGGGGCCCTCCAAGCGCACTGGTCGGGAAACCGCCCCATCCCTCAGCTCCAAGATGCCCGCCACAAGGTACCAATCAGGCCGCGTGCTGCTTGTGGGGCCCAGTCTCAGGGTATTTGGGGCCACGTGCTCTACGACTGCCCCGAGCTGCTCAAGCAGCGCGAGGACTTCTTGGACATCTCAGAGGATTTGGAGGCAACCAGAGGCATGCTCCTGAAGGGGGGCGAATGGTATGATGGGCGTCTGGCTTGGGAGTCCAATTATCTGGTCTTCGGGGTCCCTGCTCCTCCCGCGGGTATTCCTGGGCTCGACACTATAAGCACAGAAGTTCTCCTTTGGGGCGACACCGACGGGCCTTGGGGCCCCAAGAGCTACACCGACGGTTCGGGCCTCGCCTCCAGCGTTCCAGAGACTAGGCGGTGCGGGTATTCATGCATCCAGCTTGACCCCACGACTCTTTTGCCTGTCCGTGCTGTGTATGGACCCCTGCCCTTCTATGTGCAGACTGTTGGCCGTGCTGAGAGATATGCGATCAAAATGGGTTTGGAATGTCATCCTGATCACGAGCTGATCGCGTCTGACCTCCTGGGACTGGTTACCGAGGGCAATTCCTGGGATCAATCCCTCCAGCACGGCCGAGGCAAGCACGCCAGGATATGGCGAGAGATTTTTCAGGCTGCGCAGCGTCGGGTACTTGAGTACCCTGTTCGTTTTGAGTGGACTCCTGCACACCGTGACCTCGACAGTGTGCTGGAGAATCCTGAAGAGGTGGAGAACTGGCTCGGCAATGCCTGGGCTGATTATTTCGCCAAGGCGGGTGCGGCGCACCACATGATCGCCAACACGGTTTCCCAGTCGCTCTCGGAGGCCCTGAAGGTCCATAAGGCCACGTTGCAGTTTGTGTCATGGGCGTGCTTACGTGTTATCGCCTCGGAGAGTTGGGGCCGAGGTCCCCCGCCACCCGTTCAGGATCCTGAGGCCCGTGAGATCCTGGGGCAGCCAGTCGTGTTCGGACGGGGTTCTGATCATGAGCTTTGGTGGTGCAAGAGACCCAACGAGCACAGGTGCAGGAGTTGTGGGAGATCGGCTC